GAAGGGGCCTCCAGCCCCTGAGCCACAACTCCATTCGATCCAGGCCTTGACATGACCGGCCCCTTCCCTTCGCTTTGGCGCCTGCTGCTGGGACTGGTTGGGCTCCCTCCGCAGCTCCAACTTCAAGGCGGGCTTGTACTCCGCCACCCCGGCGTAGTGGAGCATGTAGTCCTCGGTGCGTGGCGCTTGCAGAGAAACCGTCACGCCTAGGATCCTTCTGTTGAGAACTGCCGTTGTTCAAGAAAGACCTCTTTTCAATAATGTGTTCCGGCACCTTTTTTCCCTACAATCACGGAGCTGGAAAAGAACCCTGTCGACCATGGCGAATGCTGAGCCCAGCTGCCACCTCCCAAAAGTGAAACATATCTACCTGCTACAACCAACTTGGGGAAATTGCGAGCCACCTCGAGCAAATAGACGTCATCTTCTCTAGATAGGCAAAAAAACAAATTGAACCAGCATCGACCCCAAACTGCAATTGCGCACATCAGTTGGTGTCAATTGGACCACAAATTGCTGACAACCGGAGACCACGTCTGGGTAGCAAATCAAGGCATTGCATCGCATGTTGGGGCTCAAAGAACGAGGAACAACCAGTTGGGTAACCAACTGTTGCTGTCAAGTCGCGTCGCAGCTTTGATTACTACGTGACCATGTCATGCAGCAACAAAAGCGCAAGTAACGCGTGCGCACGCGCGCGCGCGCACCAGGCATGCGGAGACAAGTGGGGAGACAAGTCGTGACCAGGTCCGAGCCAGCAAGCGCAAGCAAGGAGACAAGTGGGGGGCAGTAGGGAGACAAACCGCGACAAGGCCAAAGATAATAAATTGAGAACCCGGGCATGCGAGCTCAGGATGTTGTTGTCTCTGAATAGCTGACACCCTTGTCCGCTTCTGGCTTCTGTGGAGCGGACCCCTTCGCATGGGTCCTCCTATGTGGACCCTGCCCTTTGCAATCCCTTTGCATAGGCATTTTTCTGCGTGGACCTTTCCTTTCGCGTTGCGTGGATGTGTCCTTTACGTGGGCTCCTACGTTGAACCTCCCATGTGGACCCGTTTACATGATCCCCCGCCGACCCTACATGCCCTCCTACCTGGACCCTGCTACGTGGATTCGTCCCTTTGCCTGGGCCCTCCTCCCTGCGTGTCCTTTACATACGCCCTCCTAGGTGGACCTTCCTGTGGACCCATCCTTCACCTGCCTATGTGGACTACACGGAATCCTGCTTCGGGACCGACTCCTACGTGGACCCTTCTTTGCGCAGGACCCCTTTCTTTTTTCTCTGCGCGGCCCAACCCAGCCCTTTTCCCTTTGAATTCTTCAGTATGCAGACTGCCTACCTGACAAGGAGTTCTTTTCTATTGGGTGCACGATCCATGGCTCTTGTCGCGGTTTGTCTCCCCACTTTCTCCCTGCTTGTCTCCCCACTGCTCTCCCTGCCTTCACTTACATCCATCGAGACCAAACTAACCAAACCAAACGAGCCAACCAAGAAACAGACCACCCAACAAAACCTGCCCGCGTGGCCCCCATGGCTTCAAACGGCCTGAGAGCTTCCGAGGTGCCCCGCAGATCCGGGTGGAGCTGTCGAAGGCGAACTCCAAGGTACCCTCCAAGACCCCGGGCACCCCGTGGTCCCCGTAGTTCCGCACCTTCAAATCCAGCTCCGGATCCTGAAGCCGGCCCGTGAATCGTCCAGGCCGCAAGCTGCGGATCCCAAGCAAACGAACGCAGCCGGCGTGGCTAAACTCGGCAAATGGGCTGGACTATGTGCAAAAGCAGGTCATCAAGCTTGTAGGCTGCTGCGTTCATGGGCAACATGGTTCGCTCATGGCTCGTTCAACGCATTTCATGCAAACATCATAAGATGGTGCAAACTCTACCGTTTTATTGCTGCAACTGATGGCGGGGCCCTGCCCGCAAAATGACGCTCTGCCGGAGTTCCCCTACAGTAGCAACAATACTAGAACTTTGACACGGCCAAAAGCGTGGTTACCCCTAAGCAGCAGACTCATACTAAGCCATCTCTGCCCTTTCTGAACCCCACTTCATCTGATTGCCCCTGCCCTTCGATGACACTAAACCGTCGAGTTCCAATCCAACCAACCTATTGGAACCCAACCTATTGCACTTGTAGGAGAGGGTCTTCCAACCCCATCAGGTTCCCATGGGAAGGGTTGCCATTCTCAAAGGCACCCTCAGGTTTCTGCGTGCCAGACCTGAAACCAGACTCCATACCCCAGAGCTCCTTGCCATGGGCAAAACATGGGGCGCAAGATCTTTTAGATGGGCAGCACTCCCTCGAAGAAAGAAAGAAAGAAAGAAAGAAAGAAAGAAAGAAAGAAGGAAAGAAAGAAGAGCACCGCCGCAACAACCGCCGCGCCTTGATGATGCGGTGCCCGAACTGGAGCCGCGAGTGCCGGGGGTCCGGCAACGGGCCTGAGGCAAAATTTGGGAGAAACAAACCTTGCAGCCCCTGAAAGGAAACAAAAGGAGGCGGTTTAAAACAACAAGGTGTTGAAAGAGGGCTAAGCATGTGTTTCAACCATATCGGACCATATGAAACAAGTTTGTTTCAACCGTATCAAACGAGTTAGTTTCAACCGTACCCCGGCCCCGGCGAAACTCTGAGAACCTGTTCTCACAGCGGATCAACAAATACTCCAGGGTTAGACCAGGTTCCAAAAATTCCGCGGTGAATCAACCAATCACCAGCCGAGGGGTTGAACCCACCCACCCCACACACCCACACACCCCCACACCCCCACCCCACCCACCCACCCATCCCGCCCGCCCGCCCATCCCACCTCCCACCCCCGGACGCCTAAGCTGCCGTCCCCCACGGCGCGGAAGCCCACCAAGGCCACGAAGCCGCTCCGGCTGAAGCTGCTCACCTCCACCGAGTAGGCCTCCACCGCCCCGTCCTTCCTGGGAGTCGGAACCCCAGGAGAAGAAAAGAAGAAGAGCGCCGCGGAAGAAATGCAAAGCTAAAAACAACAACAGCTTCCCGGAAAACGAAGGAATAGAATGATCAAGATCTCAGTGCAAGTCAGACCCTTGTTGCTGGTAACTATGCAAGGGACCATGAAATCACTTTGACAAACGTGCTCCAAACCACTCCCGAGTTTATCTGCGCAGAGACTCCATAGCTCCAGCTGCCCTTCTGGATCCTTTGGTTTCCTTTTTGGAAAATCACAACTCGTGGGTTGCTTAGAACCCAGATTGGAACCTCTGTCAAGGGATCCCAGAAGGCGGAGACTTCACCAACGCCTGCGAGCTGGACAACACCTATGGGAAAGCCAAGAAGGAAAATAGCCACCAACCTTACCATGATGATGATGATGATGATGATGATGATGATGATGATGATGATGATGATGATGATGATGATGATGATGACGATGATGATGATGATGATGATGATGATGATGATGATGATGATGATGATGATGATGGATGATGATGACGATGATGATGATGATGATGATGATGATGATGATGATGATGATGATGATGATGATGATGATGATGATGATGATGATGATGATGATGAATGATGATGATGATGATGATGATGATGATGATGATGATGATGATGATGATGATGATGATGATGATGCTGATGCTGATGCTGATGCTGATGCTGCTGCTGCTGCTGCTGATGATGATGATGATGATCAAGAAAGTGATTCATGACATTCTCAAGGCAAAAGGTTCGCGGACAAGGGCCAAGTTCTCAAGAGAAGACACCGTCATAATTACTCAAATGCTGCATCCAAGCATGCAGTCACTTGCGCCTACCAGGGCCCCACAGCGGATACGGCGAGCTAAGGTTAAATGGACTTGAAGGACTGAACGACCCGAGCAACCTGTGAGCTTTGGCGGCTCAACCTGAATCAACCCCCGCGTGAAACTTGACACCTGGCTGCAAACCATGCTTTATGAAGAGCAACCAGCCCAAGAAGCACAAACGAACGAAAGAAAGAAAGAACACACACAGAGTGCAAGTCCCAAGGTCAGCTAGCAGCTAGCTGGAAAGCCAGGTGCCAAGTCAAACATCCCGAAACCAAGCCGCAAGGCACGTCTCGGAGGCTTGTACCGCATGCCAGTCCGCGCAAAGGAATCCAGGCAGGCGACGCTAATGCCGTCTGGCCCTTTTGGACAACCCCCCCTGGGGTTGACCAGCAAGGCGAGCCACCAATGCTTCTCCTGCTGACGACCCATGTAGTCTCTCAGCAGCTCGTTCACCGGCACAGCCAAAGCGCCTACCTGATCGGCAAAAAGCCCCCCTTTGCCCAAGCGGCGCTTGGCCCAGTTGGTCACATTCGCGTGGCCCGTGCGCCCGTTCGAGGCATGGCCCTTCTGCAGCATGCCGTAGAAGTAGGAGCCCAGGTAAGCCACTGGAGAAAGACCTTCATTGAAGCCCCCGTCAGTCTTTCGGTTGGGGATCAGCGCCTGCCCGATCTTCACGAAGAAGTCCAGTAGGGCATCGTTCAAATCCTCACCATCCTCCAGGCGCTTGACGTCATGCACCAGGTGAACCGAGGCCCTCTGGAAGGTCAGCTCCACACAATCTGACATTGCAGCATCCTGCTGCGGCCAAAATGGCTGCAGAAGGAAATTCGAGCAAAGCTCCCACTGGCAAACGAGTGCCAACATACGGACATCTGTCCCACAAAGATCGGTTTAAAGGCCCCAACAAGAACCAAGGCAAAGCCTTTCGACAGCCGTTATGCAATGCTTCTCGCAGCGCATGCCCGGGGCTCGAGACTCAAACAGGCAAAGAGGCAAGCGAGCGCGGCGATTTCCTTCACCATGTCGTCCAATAGCCGCAGCTGGGCGAGGAAATATTTTGCCAAGGTCTTCCTGGGCACAACATATAATCCGCCTTAAGCGCGGCAGGAGTCTCTGGAACAATTGCTGGCTCAGAGGGGCGCCATGTTCTTGAGTCGTTATCGCTTCCCAATTTGGCTGACAGCTATGGTCTATATGAACGCGCGGCAGAGCCTCCCTTCTGTATATACCTGATTGGGCATGGGGGGTGAAATTTTAGCGGATGACAAGTGAGAGATACTGTGGGGAGAGACACTGTCAACAAGTTTTGCCGTGCAGATTGCCGACCGTGGTCGTCAAGCACCGCCCAAAGCAATGCAAAAGATGGAAGTGGCCCCGGCCAATTTACCCGGAACTACCCACTCGCTTGGCACACGGTCCACATTTTCCTGAGTTGTGCACTCAACGGGGTAGCCGGCCAATCAACCGAAAAGCTGTGCAAAGCCAGTCTGCAGAAACTGGCCGACAAGGGACGAAAAGGAAGCTTACAAACATCTCGGCCTCGTTCCACGAGGCGCTCATGTGGGCATAATATGTTGATGGCACCCCAATTTGAAAAACTACTTGAACATCGACGATGTCCACTGACGACATAAACATGATCAAAGCCTTGCCAGCTTACTCAAAGATGTGCATCTTGGCCAGCGCAAAGTTCCCAGAATGGTTGACCAAACCAGGCTCTCAAGTTTACCGTAATTGCAGAAAGGCAACATCCCGCAACCTGCTCGAAAAACGAGATGCCCATCGGCCGGATGATAAATGCCCAAAAACGGCACTTCAGAGTTGTGCAGAACCAGGGTCGGGCCGGCCGCGTGTTTATGTCCAACCTGTTGGCTCTTACACAACCCGCTTTGCCCTCCAAAAAGGCAGCCGAAGCGGGTCTGGTCCAGATACAGCTGCCGAGCAGCAGGAGCTGAAGGCGCGAAGCGCCGCCCATGCCCGCGTCGTTGGTGTTCCACTTGGACTCCTCCAAGAAGGACCTGGCTGCGTCCAACTGCTTGGCTCTCGCCTGAACGCCCCCCTGATCCCTGGTTGGGCTACATGGCAGAGCTGTGCTTTCTGCCACCTGGATGGGAATGTGGTTGGGGAATGCGCAACTTGCCAATTGAGCACCAAACAAGCACCCAAACCATGGTGTACATTTGGGAAGCTCAGAAGGAACAGTCCAGGAGAGGCCTCGGGCATCCTGCCACAAGAAGCCGCTCGACTTCACGCATGGCTTCACTGCGCACAGTGTGGTTCCCATGGACAAAGATTGCACGTTTGAGAACGTCAGGGTATGAAATGACCTCGGATCCCGCATTCAGAGGTACATACAACTCAGGACTCACAATATTTGACTGAAACACGTGGGTCAAAAGTGAAACTCCGGAAGGCGTGTGGTCTGATTTTTTCAGGGCTAGAAGGGGCTGAAAAGGTTTCAATACCCCAGTTCGATACGTTCCTGGGTGTCCCTTTGCCGGGCTCTACATCTAAGTTGAAAACAAAGCACTGAGCCAACAGCACGAAATAGAACATGTTGTTAATGTTGCCCAACATAAACCGGACAAAGGCTCCCTGGTACAATTCCCTCACCCTGCCGGATTTGGCTGCGTGTTTCTGCTGTGGTAAAGGGAAACCCAAGCCACAAGCCGCATGGTGTCCAAGCCGCTGCTCTTGGCGTTGCATCTCGTTCCAGGTGATGCCTGTGGACAGCTCCTCGGCGCGAAAAGCCTGCTTCCATGTTGGTAGACGAACAGTCATGCAACCATGGCGAATGAGACAAGAGGGCCTATTGGGTAGGTATGAGACAAGAGGGCTTATTGGGCAACCCTGTTTATTAAGTTTATGTCCTGCTACAAGTGTGAGTCAGAACGTCTAAGCCAGTTGGGACGTTCAGCGTGCGCACGCGTTGTCTAGTGGCTGACTTCTTGTTTTGGAGGCGGATGGTCGTTTGTACTCGTTGGCGCTGGCGTCTTGCAACGTGATGGCAGCCATGAAACTTGTGTTTGCGCAACCCAGCGGCAAATCATGAATGGAATGGGACCACTGCAAAAATACATGCACCCGCGCGAGAAAATATCAGCTCCGCCACCCCAAATCTGGCGTCATGCTTCGGGCCCGAAAGCCAGCAAACCCGGTTCCTCGCGCTCACCCCACTCACATTCTGCAGGCCATTGTCATTTTGAAGTCACAAATGCTTCGCCGCGAGCCAATCTCGGCCCGGCCCCTGACTCCCACTGCACGGGTCCAAGGGTCGCAGCAGCGCTGCGGCTGCAGCACCCAAACCAAATGGCATAGCGACACCTCGCAGCAAAAATCATGTGAACCCCTCACACAGCTGTAGCATGTTTGCGCAGAAACGTGGGTGCAGAAAATGTTTGAGACAAACTAGGGTTCTTGTCTCATCATGGGGCTTACCAACGCGGCGTGAGAACGCACAGAGCTCAATTTGAGCCTCTTCAGGTGGCCACCAAAAACACCACATGGAATTAAACCGGCCCCACACAAACGACCCCAAGTTCAGAAAACCTCCCCCAAATCAAAAGTGAAATCCCTGGTGATGCAGCTGGTCTCAGTTTGTCCATGTTGCTGCACCTAAATTATTGCTGACATTTGCCTTCCATTTGCTTGGTAGTGCCAAGAAAAGCTGCCAGTGCCAGCTTTGCAGTAGTACCGACACAGCCACGAAGCAACAGCCAGAAACTCCCTGAAATCCAAACATGCCTTCCGAAAGTGCAATTTCTGTACTAACTCCCTTTCAAAAAGTGATGGTTTGAGAAGGCCACATGAGGTACCCACATAAGTGCCCAGCCCATGTTAATAACATGGGTCCCCATGCTAAGTTGGCCTCCCTCAGGCCTGCAACAAAAATCCAGCGTTGTACTTGCTAGCACTTGCATACCGGCACAGCCATGAAGCATTGCCATGCCAGCACAAACATCATCAACCAGACCTCCCTGAAATCAAAAAAAATGTGGCTTTCTGAAAGTGCAATTTCTTTATCAAATCCCTTTCGACAAGTTATGGTTTGAGAAGGCCACATGAGGTAAGGTACCCCACATGAGTGCCCAGGCCATGTTAATACTGTGAGCTCACATGTTGTTGGTTCGAGCCCTTTGGATCGCACCCATTTTTGAGCTCCAGCAATGCTAAATCAAATAGAAAGTGCAATCCCACAATACTAAGTTAACTGGACACCCAAATCAAAATCAAAAGGAAGCGCCAGCAATAATAAATCAATTGAAAAGGGAAATCCCACAGTACTAAATCAACTGGACAGTCAGTTCAAAATGCAAAAGGATGCTCCAGCAATACTAAATCAAATGGAAAGTGACATTCCACAATACTAAATGAACTGGACACTCAAATCAAATCAAAAGGAAGCTCCAGCAATACTCATACTACACCAAGTGGAAAGGGAAATCCCGCAATACTAAATGAGTCTTCAGGGTCCCATTTTTCGAAATAAGGTAAGTACATTAAACATTATACATATTGTTCAGGAGCGTTTAAACGGTCGCGCCGTTTTTTTGCTAGGAGTGACTTTTTGTTAGCACCGTGACTGTGACCAAGAGAGGGGGGGGGCGGAGGGCAACATCCCTAGCATCGCCGGGCTCAGTCTGCCCCTGATCTTTTGCCACCGCAAGACAGGCCACCAGCCCGTCAACATCATCAACATTGTTTTCAACATCCCGCATGTCCAGCCAACATCCCCGGCAGCACCAGCAAATCGAGGGCTTCCTACATCCTCAGCATCACCAGTTCCTCTCCAGCAAGGTAAGTATGTATGTATGTATGCATGTTAAAAAGCAGTGAGGTGGTCGGTTTCCTATCATGATGGCAAAAGTGAGGATTCAAATACGGTTGCAATTTAATCCCTGTAACACACCTAAAAAGTAGCGGGGGGGTTGGTGGGGGCTGCCGCCCCCCCCCCTTAATGTTCAAAAAAATGATGATTCAGTTAGAGGTGCATTCTAATCTCCGCCCAAAGTCCAAAAAGTAGCGGAGGGGTTGGGGGAGGCAGCAGGTCCCCCCATGATGATCGAAAAAGTGATGATTCAATTATTGGCAAAAAATATAAAATATAGCGGGGGTTGGGGGCGGCAGGCCCCGCTTGATGCTCGAGAAAGTGATGATTAAATTAAGGAAAAAAGTCTAACAAGTAGCGGGGGGGTTGGGGGGTGCGGCAACCTCCCCCAATGATGATCGAGAAAGTGATGATTCAATTTGAGGCAAAAAATCTAACAAGTAGCGGGGGGGGGTTTGGGGGGGCGGCAGCCTCCCCCATAGTGTTCGCAGAAGTGATGACTCGTATAGGGGTGCAATTAAATCTCTACAAGAAGTCTAAAAAGTAGCGCGGAGGTTTGGGGGGGTAGCAGCCCCCCCCATGATGTTCAAATTGAGGCAATTTAATCTCTGTCCAAAAAACCAACTGGGAAAGCAGAGGATGTGTGAAGCCAAAGCCAGAAAGCCGCCAAAAGCCATAAAGCCAAACAGCCGCCAGAGGAACTGGTAATGCAGAGGATGCGAAAAGCCAAAGCTGCAAAAGCCGCGTAAACCCAATAAAAAGCCGCAAAAGCCAAACAGAGAGGAACTGTGAATGCAGAGGATGCGAAATGAAAAGCCACAAAAGCCACATAAACCCGCGTAAATGCCACAAAAGCCAAGAAGCCGAAAAGCCACCCACCCAAACAATAGCTCTTTTGTTTTTTGAGCTTAGCTGCTTATGGTTGAACTTGGGTAAATTTGGGGGTGGCTTCGGGCTG